GGTCCATAGGAGATTAGCGCCTCCCAGCACACTGGGGCAAGGGCCCCAGATCCACAAAGGAAGCTGGTGAGGCCCAGGAACCAGCTCAGAGAACATCGCCCATCAGACTGGTAAGAACCCAGGTTCATTTTGGTAGACCTGCCCCTAAGAGGCCGAAGGGGAGCCTGATCACCTCCCAGAGTTGCCCGGGTAGTTCCATAAGGAATGAAACCACAACTCTAAGATACCAGGCACTGGGCAGCGGGTTGGAGTCACTGTGTGACTGTGTGTAAATGAGACGGACAGAGGAAATTTTCTGACCCTGACCCATTAAATGGGTCAAAGTGAATTCTGAGTCCCAGTCTGTGGTTCCGTGGCAACCTCATATGGCTTAGGGCAGCGTCAGACTTCCTCAGGAGTCTGATCTGGGTCAGCGCTTGATACTGAACCCACCAATGCTAAGTGGCGCCTGAAATATCTCTGAGAGGAGAACAACCGAAAATGGACGAAGCAAGTGTGTGTCCTCTCCAAATTAGTCCCTTCTTTCCCCTTTTTTTCTCTCTTGTGCATGAAAGTTGTCCATTATGGGGAGGAAATGGGTGGAAAGCAGAGTAAACGACTCCCATAGAGTGTATTCTGAGGAATTTCAAAAAGGGATATTCAGGAGATTACAGTGTGAAATTAACTCCCGGAAAGCTCTGGACATTCTATGAAATTGATTAGCCACCGTTTGGGGTGGGCTGGCCCTCTGAGGGCTCACTTGATAGGGAACTAGTTGGTCCAGTATTCAAGGTCATTGTGGGGGATCCAGGCCACCCCCAACCAATTTCTTCACATTGAATGTTGGCAAGACCTAGTCCTATCCCGGTCGCCTTGGCTAAAAGTCTGTATTGAAGAGAACTATAAAATTACGATGGCTCGCATCATGGCATCCTCCAAATGCTGGCCAAAAACTGAAAAACCCATACTGTTGGGAGAGCCTGAGGGGACCCCACTGCCATATGCCCCCACTGTACCCCTCACTGCCACCTGTGCCTCCAGCCATCCCAGCTGCTGAAACCCCACAGGAGCCTGCCCCTAGTCCTGACACCTCACCACCTCTAGCACCACCAGCTTCTCTGGATGTGACCAGCTCAACTGGACCACCCGTCCTAACCCCATATATCCCTCCTAGAGGGCGATTAGAGGATCAGGCCAGCGGAGACAGTCACTCCCTGCAGCAACACTGGGGACCCCTACAGATGCCACTGAGGGAAATTAGGGGACCCATCTATGATCATCAGGAAAGCCAGATCCGAGGACACCAGCATGTTTTTGTGTACCAACCCTTTACCACTATGGACCTCCTAAATTGGAAGCACCACACTCCCTCCTGTACAGAGAAGCCCCAGGCTATGACTGAACTAATGCAGTCCATAATTCAAACCCATAAACCTACCTGCATGGACTGCTGCCAACTCCTCCTGACCCTCAAATTACCCAGGAGGCCCTAGCATGGTTAGAGGAGAATGGCCCGGCTGCGACGCTTATGCTCGGACTCACTTCCCTGGAGAGGACCCCAAATGGGACCCAAATGACTCATGTGTAGATGGAGGGCTCGTGAGTACTAACCAGTATCAAGAAGCCCTTCTAGGGGCGCCTGGGTGGCTCAGTCGGTTGAGCGTCCGACTTCAGCTCAGGTCACAATCTCACGGTTCATGAGTT